AAAAAAAAAAAAAAAAAAAAAAAAAAAAAAAAAAAAAAAAAAAAAAAAAAAAAAAAATTACAGAATGATGTGAATTTAAATTAATAATACAATGACGAAGATGAATGCTATATGAAATAGAATACTTATGGCTTTTAACTTAAGATTGGAGGTGAACCTAATTAATAAAAGTCTCATTTCCCTATAGTAGCAAAGAAAGAAAACAGAACAGATACTACGTTACTCAAAACCAGATTCCCAGCACCTAGGACACAGGCAGGCATCTAATAAGAGGTTAAGCTGGAAGGAATGTTTCCTGCCCCTATTTCCAAAATAAGTGAAAATGTTTTCAGGTATCCAAGAAATCTTTCTGGATACTTAACTGAGGATTCAAAAACGAAATGTGAAATACACATATGATTTATTTGAACAATTAACAGGGTAACAATAAAGCTCCATTTTATAATATCTACAAATAAAAATATCTAACTTAAGAACATTATACAGTGGCTTCTGAATTTCTTTATGTATTAAAGTTGGAAATTTACCATTCATATGTCAAAAGCCTAATCAAAATACTCACTGAAACAAAAACTAACTGAGCTATTTTAAACATTAAATTATTGGGACAAATCAAATAGAAGCATGTAATATAGCAGAATTAAACAGAATTCTGCTTTAAATCAAGGCTTAACAACTCAGAATTTTCAGTTAAGTAACATTAACAGATTTTTAGTTAAAAACTATAAAAGAGCTTTATTTATACATTTCTCAGTATTATTTCCACAAATAACCTTGAAAATAAGAGGATTTAAAAAAAACACATATCACCCCCCAATCTCATAAAACTGACTCATGATATTAATTTTTACAAACTGATAATACATACATCGTACTTTCCAAGGTTTGGCTTTTGTTTTCCTGCTAAAATTTTTAAAGCGGTTGACTTTCCAATACCATTAGTTCCAACTAATCCCAAAACTTCACCTGGACGAGGGATAGGCAACCTGTTACAAGTATACAAAAATAATAAAACAACTCAGACTTACATAGAAAAAGTCACATAACATCAGAATGATATATTTTAATGAACTTGCACTTCACACACATCCATTAATAAGCTAAGAAACATATGCCAGATATTATTGGCTATTAGAAAAAAAACAGCCAAGATTAACTTACACTGTTAATTGTTAGAAATGCATCCATATTACTCCAAGTTTTATTTATTCAGTTTTCAAAGTCCATTCTAAAGTCATATTTCTTTTTTACATATAAGGCTCAGTTTTAATGTGTAAGAAAATGCTTTGGTACAAAATTACATAGCAAGTGCATCCCCACAATGTCTTTCTTTTCTGGCCTGCCATTTACTTACAAGGAGAGAAGTGCCACATCAACCAGAAATATTCCACTTCATTCTCCTTGCTGCAGTAGGCCCCTTAAAGCTGGCAGGTTGAGAAATAACCTTTTTATTAGTAAAATCTAGACTCCTAGATTCATAGTATTAGTGTTCAGCAGATAAAAATCCCAAACTAAGGATTTATTTGTGACTTAACAATACATGTCCAAATTCAAAGTGATATCCTCTGTAGATCTTAAGATTAACAGATAAACAAAATCAAAGGCAAGTTCTCTTAAAAGTTATTTTGGGGAAAAGGGTACTAGGAACAAGAGTGACTCTCAGTCCCAGTTGTATATTAGAATCACCTGGGACTTTTTCAATATACTAAGGTCCAGACCCTATGATGTAATTAAACTGGGCTGAAACCTGGGCATTAGCAGCTTCAAAAAGTCCCACAGATAATTCTAATATTAGCCAGAATGAACCAAAGACATATACAGTATGATTCTGCATGATGTTATAGTATTGTATTTTCCTTTAGTGACTGGTTAAGAGCATCTCTCCCCCATTTTTGCATTTCTCTTAAAATCCCAAATGTATTTTACTCTTAACTTGACAGAAGAGGAATCTTGATGTGAAAATATACCTGTGAAGTTTGAAGGCATTGGCACAATATCGATGTGTGGTTTCTTTTTCTAAGTTGCTGGGTAAATTGACAATTGATAAGGCGCCAAAGGGGCATTTCTGTTATTTAAAGTAAAAAATTTTTGTATTAATTTGCAGACATATACACATGACTAAAACAGATTAAATATTTTATAAGCAATCTTCTAAACATGAGGAGTTTCATAAAGATGTAAAATGTTGTTTTATTTCCTTTTACTATTTACTTAAAAATAAAAGTTCCATGAACATTAGAATGATATCAATTATAGTTCTCTCTCAGTATATGCGGGGAAAGTCATTCTAGAACTCCCAAGTATAACCAAATTGGCACATACTCAAGTCCTGTAGTCAGTCCTGCAGAACATGAGTACAAGAGAGTCAGCCCTTTCTAAAATGGGTTTTGCATCCCATCCTGCAAATACTCCATTTCCAATCTGCGTTTGGCTGGGGAAAAAAATCCACATATATGTAGAGCTGCACAGTTTGAACCTGTGATTTCAAGGATCAACTGTAACTCAATATTCCCTTTAGTGATGGGCATAATCCTTTATATTTAAAGAGTGCTTAATGCTCATTAAAAACCTTGTAGAACTTGAGGTTTTCCATTTGATTTTTTTAAAAAACATACTAGATAAGGGAAGGCTAAGAGGCAAGTCAATAAAAAAAGTCACTGAATATATGACTTCGTATTCTTTCCTAAACAGATGATCTCCCTCTGTTACTTTCAATTATTCCTGCCCTTGTATGATTTCTGTTCTACCTTGTAAAGCCATTTGTGGTCATGGATCTTATCTTTTTTTGGGTTATTTCCAACCCACCAATGGCTTGCCTATTTGCACAGACCAGGGATTAATGTCTTTCCATTATGACTTTTATTGTCCTATATGAAAAACATACTTGAATTCTTGGTGTCAATTCACATTAAAAACAAACAAACAAACAAAACACATAGGCTTATTTGAACAACATTTGACTATCAGGTGATATTCAAATGAAAAGTCCAAGTAACAAGAATGGCAAAAACAGAAAGCTCATTTAAGAATGGTAATGTGGCCATAAAAAATTTTTCGTAACCACAGACAACTACAGAGGTACATCCAAAGATTAAAACCTCATATTATTAGAGATCTGCTCAGCAGACATGTTCAATGAGCTCAGGGGACCAATTCAAAGTTTCCGTGTTTAGAGATTCTAGGGAATTTCCTTTTTTTTTTTTTTTTTTTTTTTTTAAACACGGAATGGCACTCTGTAGCCCAGGCTGGAGTGCAGTGGCGCAATCCTGGCTAACTGCAACCTCTACCTTCCAGGTTCAAGCGATTCTCCTGCCTCGGCCTCCTGAGTAGCTGGGACTACAGGCGCCCACCATCAGGCCCAGTTAATTTTTGTATTTTTAGTAGAGACGGGGTTTCACCATCTTGGCCAGGCTGGTCTTGAACTCCTGACCTTGTGATCTGCCTGCCTCAGCCTCCCTAAGTGCTGCAATTACAGGCGTAAGCCACCGTCCTGGTGGAATTTCCATTTTATATGTTACAACATAGAGAATTACTCTTGTTTTCTAATAAAGTAATTTCCACCCTCTAACCAAAACTATTAAGTTTTTACAAAGCATATTTTTATAGCTTATATAATTTTATAATTATATTTTATATATAAAAGAATAATTTTATATATTATAAAATATATACTTTTAATAATTTATAATGAAATTTATATAATTTTACAAATTATATTTTATAATTCTTACAAATTTTATCTTTTTACCAGTGGAGTACCATTAGCCACTTTTCATAAATGTACATAAAATGCTTACATGCTGCAAGTGATTCAAACTTCTTTAATTCTACAAGGAAAAAAATATCCACTGTTCATATATGAGGTGCATTATAATATCTTAGGGTTCAGGAATTATACATTACTTTCCCAACTTCAAAGAGAATCATCCCATTAGTATGTTTTCAGCCACTCAGGTGTACATTCAAATTTTAAAATCTAATTTTCTTATAGCAGCAAAGAAAGAAAATAGAATAGATGCTATATTACTCAAAACCAGATTTCTAGCGCCCAGGATAAAGGCAGGCATTTAATAGGAGATTAGTAAATATTTGCTGGAAGGAATGCTTTCTGTTTATATTTTCAATGCAAGTGAAAATGTCTTCAGGTATCCACGAAATCTTTCTGGATACTTAAACAAGAATTTAGAAACCAACATGAAATATACGGATGATTTATTTGAGCAACGGTATGGTATGTGAACTCTGGTGAAGCTCCTTTTCATAAAATCTACAAATAGAAAGATCTAAATTAAGTATGTTACATATTAGCTCCTAAACTCCTTTTACAAACTAAAGTTAGAAATTCAACATTTTCAAGTCAAAAGCCTCATCAAACTATTCAACGCAACAAAAACTACTAGTAATTCAGCTATTTTAAGTATTATATCATACTATTGGGAAAAATGCAATAGAAGCATGTGTAATACAGCAGAAGAAAAACTTAAGAATTAGGTTAAAGTTTAAAATTTTTGGCTGTGTGCATTTCTATTTAAAAGGTGTGAATTTAATATTTAATATGGACTTGAAAGAAATGTGATGGTAATGTCTTTGTAAAAAAGTGAAAAAAGAGAAATTTTGGTTGGAAATGGCTTTATCAAATTGAGTATGTAAGAATAACTTTTTTTTTTTTTTGAGACGGAGTTTCGCTCTTGTTACCCAGGCTGGAGTGCAATGGTGCGATCTCGGCTCACCGCAACCTCCGCCTCCTGGGTCCAGGCAATT